TTGTTTAAACCAATCTCATTTACAGGGGCGGGAGCCGGACATCGGCAAAATCTCTATGAGTATGGCTCAAAGGTCTTTCACTCCGCTCCCCTCCGCTCCAGCCCAACTAGTGTGCAAGTATATGTATATTTATAAAATAATGTACATATTTTTATTTTAATAGCGTTTTCTATTAAATATTTATTACTCTGTTCTTCACTTTACATTGCAGCATTGCAAGTTTGTAAACAGATAATTTATTCATAAAATAGCACACATTCAATCATCAATAGAGCTCTGTATGAATTATTAGATCTGTTCACTTACACGTTAAATTACCAGGGAGTAATATAAGTTTATTCATAAAATCATACATTTTGTCTTCAATAGAATTCTCTATTAAATCTTACCTTTGTCGCTTCACTTATGGTTAAACTAAGCCACAAGAAATGGCTTAAAGGATACAATTTGAACGAAATACCTTATGATAGTTTGATAAATAAGGAAAAATTAGGACGTGGGGGATTTGGAACAGTTTATAGAACAATATCTCGTTCATTAGATCGTTATGTGGCTATTAAGGAAGTAGAGTCAGAAAATGAAGAAAAAACCCAAAAGATTTTTAAAAGAGAAGTACATATATTATCAAATATCTATATAATTTTTATTATTTACAGTATTGGCTTTCTAAAATATAATGGCTTTTTTAGCTAAAACAACCAAGTAGATCTAATCATGTACGAATTATTAAATTTTATGGGATTAGTTTCGGTAAGCCATTTATTATTGCACATTGTCATGGATTTCCAGCAAATTTTCTAAGCCTTGATTTAAACTTTTCTTATAAGACACACAAAAGAAAACACATTATCTTGTAATGGAATATGCAAATGATGGAACGTTACGAGATTATTTACGAATTCATGAATTAAAATGGACAGAAAAAATTCGATTAACGAGTCAAATAGCTGAAGGAATGTCTTATCTTCATGGCATAGACATCGTACATCACGATTTAGTAAAGTATCTACTTTTATTGAATTGTTTATAGGCTTTGTAAAATTATCGAGATATTTATAAGAATATTCTGTAATTTAGCACACATTGAACATTCTTATCCATGATAAGAATGTTAAAATTTCAGATTTTGGACTTTCAAAAAATCTTAATAGCACAGTAGCAACTAGTAGTAAGGGATTTTATGGAGTAATCCCTTTTATTGATCCTCGTAAACTTGAAAACCCACAATATCCATATGATAAAAAGTCTGACGTATACAGCATTGGAGTGGTGATGTGGGAGATTTCCAGTAATGGGCAACCCCCATTTAGTCAAAGCAGTTGTAACAATCCTCTTGGTCTCCTACTTAAAATTACTACAGGGTCACGTGAAAAGCCAATCGCAGGGATCCAAATAAACGTCCCTTGATGGAAGAAATTTTTCAACGATTAAATTCCTTGGAATAGGGCTTTGAATACGATAATATAGATCTTACTTCGTTTTAAATTTAGTATAACCTATGCTTCCTGCACAGGAAATTTTATAAAAAAAACAACTTTCAAAGATATATATATTGATATTTGGCACTTGTTTTTTTTATTTATATAATTTACAATCCATTTAGTTATCGTTATGTATTAACAAACCTTATTAAAATGAATTTTTAATATAATATAACAAGTTGGAAATTTGCAAAAATATTAATTTAACAAATGTGCTTGCAATTTTTTTCGAAAATAGAGTTTATTTGAATGAAAACCGTTCAAATTAAAAGATAAAGCATTTAAAATTCTAATCATTTATTATTTACTGTGACAGATTAAAATGAAATCTGATCAAAACGAAATTAGGGACATAACAAAAATAGACAAGCCACCATAAAATATAAAGAGTACATTTTTTTTTAGGATTAATGGTCAACTTTAGGCCTCAATTTATAATAAACGAGTATACGTGAGTTTTAGGGCATAAATTAAACCCAAATTTCATTTGGACCATATTTCATTATGATTTGCGATTGTTACCCCTATCCGACACAGGGTATATAGTAAAGTAGACGATGTCAGTAAATAGCCGAGTTTAGATCAGCGATAGTGAACGAAAGATAAATTAATGTAAGATAGGGACAACAATAAGTGTACTATTATAGTTGTAATAATTATAAGATAGGATAAATAAATAAATAGGATCGTGAAGGTGTCTTCATGGTAAGGATTTCAGGATATACAATAACAAGATCGTGAAGATGTATTCACGATGATTCAACAATACAATAATAGACAATACGAGTAAGGAATATGATGCAAATAGGATATTACATAAAAGTCTTTATTTACAAAGGTGATCTAAATCAATGATCGTGTTATGTGATTAATTCACATGGATAATACTTTCTTCAGTATACTTGTCTTGTATATTATTCCCTTTACACAGTACCATAGACAATATTTAATTAATCTTGTATTTTTTATAAAAGACCAGAGTTATTGTACCAATAATGATATTTATGAGAATATTTAAAAGCAGATTTTATCAAATTACAATGATGGATAAGTTATGTATTGCCAAGGAAATTGTATTTGCTTTTTTTATTTTATATCTAATCATAATATTTGTAGAGACTTTGTAAGCACTATATACATTTTATAGTTGTTACTAGGGATTGGTTCGGCCGATTACGGTCAGTTATCGGCTAATAGGCGTTTACGGCTATAACCGATTATAAACGGCTATAACCGTACCCATTCCTAGTTGTTACTAATAAATATTCTGGGAATTTGTTTGTATTATAAAATTATTAATTAACATGATAATTTTGCATACGTTAATTTACAACATTTACAACCATGTCTACATTTTTGATAAACATATTTACTGGTGGTATATTTTAATATTTAGATTATTAGATTTTATAGTAAAACCAATCTTGTTAAAACGAATATCTAATTGTTTTAGTGTATTGTTTTTGCAAAGTGCATCAGCTATTGCTTTTCCTCCTTCTGAACCAATATTAGTATTTTGAAGATTCAATGAAGTTAAGGTAGTGTTCTTGCAAAGTGCATAAGCAAATTCTTTTCCTCCTTCTGATCCAAGTTCATTACAATAAGAACTGAATATACTTTCACCAAGATTTAAATCTTTCAGTGTAGTGTTCTTGCAAAGAGCATCAGCTAATGCTTTTCTCCCTTCTGATCCAAGATTATTCGATTGAAGATCCAACTCTGTTAAGGTAGTGTTCTTGCAAAGAGCATCAGCTAATGCTTTTCCGCCTTCTGATCCAAGATTATTCGAGCTAAGATCCAACGAAGTTAATGTAGAGTTCTTGCAAAGCGCACTAGCTAATGCTTTTCCTTCTTCTGATCCAATATTATTATATTGAAGATCCAACGAAATTAAGGTAGCGTTCTTGCAAAGTGCACCAGCTAATGCTTTTCCTCCTTCTGATCCAATATTATTATCTCGAAGATCCAACGAAGTTAAGGTAGTGTTCTTGCAAAGTGCATCTGCTAATGCTTTTCCTCCTTCTGATCCAATATTATTAGCATTAAGATTCAACGAAGTTAATGTAGTGTTCTTGCAAAGTGCACCAGCTAATGCTTTACCTCCTTCTGATCCAAGTTCATCACGATAATAATTAAATATATCACTAAGATTTAAATTTTTCAACGTAGTGTTCTTGTAAAGTGCACCAGATAATGCTTTTCCTCCTTCTGATCCAAGATTATTACGCCAAAGATTCAACGAAGTTAAGGAGGTGTTCTTGCAAAGAGAATCAGCTAATGCTTTTCCTCCTCCTGATCCAATATTATTCGAATTAAGATCCAATGAAGTTAAGGAGGTGTTCTTGCAAAGAGCATCAGCTATTGCTTTTCCTCCTTCTGATCCAATATTATTATTTTGAAGATCCAACGAAATTAAGGTAGCGTTCTTGCAAAGTGCACCAGCTAATGCTTTTCCTCCTTCTGATCCAAGATTATTATAGTAGAGTTTCAATGTAATTAAGGTAGTATTCTCGCAAAGTGCACCAGCTAATACTTTTCCTCCTTCTGATCCAAGTTTATTATATCCAATATCTAACGAAGTTAAGGTATTGTTCTTGCAAAGTACATCTGCTAATGCTTTTACACCGTCTAATCCAAGTTTATTCCAACCGATATTCAAAGAAGTCAACGTAGTGTTTTTGCCAAGTACCTTGATTAGCTCATTTATTTTATTCGATCCACGACATCTACTAAAAAGTTTCCAAATTGAAGCACTTTCTTGATCTTCGTCGTTATGCTGACTGTTCTTGAGAATTTTTTCATAAAGTTCTAATGCTTTGATAAATTTTCCTTGGTTAAAAGATTCACGTGCCTCTTTTCTCATATCCTCAATATTACAGTCTTGTGTCGAAATGTTTGAAATTATTGTATTGGATGAGTAAAGTGGAGATGAAGTCGTAATAATGAGTGAATTTACAGGCTCGGTAGTATTTTCTTGACAACTTGCGGAAGTATCGCTATTGTGAGTTGATGCATCAAGTTGACTTAAAATTTCGTCAGGATTAATTTGTTTCAGGGTATCGAGAATTTCCTTTGTTTCTGGACGATTTGCAGGTTCTTCATCCCAACATCGCTTATAAAGTTCAATATATTGAAGCGGCGTACCTTCTATAGGTACTTCTCTATTTCCTTGTGCTATGTGGAAAACAAGTGAATATTCTGATTCGAAGGCTTGGTATGGTGGCCTTCCGCTTGAAATTTCCCAGAGAATTACTCCAAAGCTATAGACGTCAGATTTCTTATCACGCTTATATTTGTGATTGATAATATACTGAGGTTCGATATATGCCGGCATTCCACGAACAACTGAGTTTGAAATCATAGACGTCTCGTTTATCTGCTTTGATAATCCGAAATCTGCGATTTTTGGATGTTTTTGATGAATCAAAATATTCTTCGAATGCTATAAATATATCAAACCATTAATTACTATAGTTAAAACTTGCAAATATATAAAAATAATATACTTACAAGATCTCTATGAATAATGTTGTTATTGTGTAAGAACAAAAGACCACGCACCACTTCCTTGGCAATTTGTAATTTATCTGCCCATTGTAATCTTGCGAAATTCGTTTTCAGATATTCTCGCAAATTTCCGTCATTAGCATATTGTAAAACCATATTATAATGCCCATTATTGTCTATTCATTGTAATTAATGTTAATTGAAATTAAAAAAAAATTATTGTTTCACATTTAGAAATATTAAACTACATATGTACCTTTTGTGACTCCATAGAATTTAATAATATTTGGGTGATAATCAACTTTTCTAAAAGTTTAAACTTTAATTCAGATCATTGTTAAAAAAAATTATAATATTATACCAGAAAGTAATTTAAGTTTTAATATAATAAACACCTCATTAATAAAGTCTTTAATAAGTTTTTCGTCTAAATCTACATCGGTATCGATTTTAAGACATTTAAGAGCAACCGTTAAATCATTGTCTTTCCATTCATATTTGAAAACCTTTCCAAAGCCTCCAATACCAATCGTTGCGGGTTCCGTAAATTTATTATATTCATGATAATTAATATGCCCCTTGGAAATAGCTTTTTCAAGCCATTCTTTCGGTGTTTTTTTTGCCATGACTTTTTGTATACCGAAAAATATGTACGTACGTATTTATGAGTTTGATAGGTATGATTTTTAAACATTCGTACGTACGTACGTACGTATACTGTTTTATATATCGATATTACTCTGAGTAACACCAGATAAAAAAGCATTAGTTTCGTACATAATGTAATTATATTGCTAGACCATTACGTAAAAATCAAATATTAGACTAGGATTAAGTTAGGTTAGAAGGTATCTAGCGATACGATAGTAGTATCGGAGACCATCCGAATATGGAAGCGATTTTCATGCAAAATCATTGTTTGGACCAATCAAAATAGCATAAACATGATTGTCAAGTTACTGATTTACAAAATTTTGGGATTTAAAGGGATTCAAGAAATATGTTATAAAGCAAAGTGTGTGTGAGTAGGGTTGTATTACACAAAATTACATTTTTGATTACATGAAATTACATTGTAACTTATGAAACTATAACATTATATAGCGCATTGTCACATGATAGTTCCATTAACATTACAAAAGTTTTACCAGCATTAATAGATCCATCATTGTGTTCGGAACTTTATTTTAATGTTAGCTTTACAAAAATTTTGACCCAAATTATTCAGGTAATCAAAATTAGATGTAATTTTGATTTCAGAAACTTACACAAACTTACGAAAATTATGTAAAATTATGTAAAATTACGGTAATTTTCTGACCTTAAGTGCGAGCTTCTATATTCTTAAAGAATTTTTTTACATTTCTTAGAAAAGATAAGGTGCATGGGCCTTTTAAAAAAGTATTGTAAAATAATATAAAAAATTCGATATCAATTGTGTAACAACTAAGTAACTT